GCATTATAGACCAAATCACGAGATTCCGCGTTTACCTCATCGATACTACAAGCTAAATGTTTTGCAGTGATCCAACTTAATTGTCGTATACGCCTTTGTATTTCAGCATCTTTTTCTTCATCTGTCGTAAAGTAAGGACTAAACAAAAATCTATACGAAAAAATATATATTTAAAGGCTTAAAAATTGAAAACATTTACGTTTACTTGTGATTTTGTGTCATTACAGCCTTTTCAAAAAAATCGATGGCACTTTCACGATCCTCATTGGTAGCTATTTGAAATATCTGATTATTATGCACAGTATCAGCAAATTTTGTATATGCATTTTGCACCAATTCGGAAAGTTCCTCAACATTTTTATTGGCATTGCTATTCATATAACTACGTATAGTTCCATCTAATCGTTGTACTTCATCTTTGAGCACACGTTTTCCATCATCGGGAACACGTAACTGTTTGAATTGTAAAATAAATTGCTTCTCCGTTGCGTCCGGTATATGCGGTTTGTCTTGAATAACAGCTATTTAGAAAAAAATAATAATAATTCTTACATGAATCAATTCTTTAATGAAATAATTATCAATAAATAAATTTCTTACTCTGTTGTTCTTCATTTTTGTGTTTTCTAGTTTTTTGCGTTGTTGATTGTAGTGTTTTTTGTATAATAGCACTATAGGGTACTAATGATTTCTTTTTATTGGATGTTCCACTACTACTGGTGGCTTCATCTTGTTTTTTCGATGGCGAGCGATTTAGCAAATTTTTGGGAGATAAACGTCCAGCTACAAGGCTGCTATTCACACTTCCATCACTTGTTTTTGGTAAATTTGGATCGATTCTAAATGCTGTTGAACTCGACAGTAAATTTTCTAATAACAAAATCAAATTATATTATAGTATTCTATATATTGTAAATAATTAATAAAGAAAGATCATACGTTTTTTCTTCTTGTCGTTACGTTCACGAAAGCATTTTGAGCAAAGTCCCTCGAATTGAGAATTTCCATAAAAGCCACAGCCCTGTTTACATTTTAACGCGCTGGCACTTAATCGCAGTTGTGGTACTCGAGAAGTCATACTTTAATTGCTTACTATATATTAATTTATTTTAATTATAGTTAATAAATTTCTACGTTTTGGCACTTTAAATTGCTTTTAATATTTTATAGCTTTCTACCAATTATTTTCGCAACAACTTTTTCTTGCAATAAAATGATTAATATATTGATTTGTGGGATGTTCACAATAGAATTTTCAGCTTTTGTTGTGATCCACATTTTCTTTAAGATGAGTGTTGCCGGACTTATAAAAAACTAAAATCAAATTGTGTTATAATGGCCGTGTACGAATTCAAGTAAATTGAGGTAAAGTAAATTGAAATTTCCTAGGGATTTTTTGCACTGTACTTATGTAAATATTTATTTATTTATTTATTGTAGTTATTTATTATTTTTGGTTGAAAGTTTTGAAATTTATTTATTTATTTAAAAACATCTTATAAAATTTTCACAATGGTAACTCCTAATTTACTTAATTTTTATCTAATATACCCTACTCGAAATTCTGGTAAATACCAACATTTGCTGCCATACTGATGTAATTTACTATTTCCCTCAATTTATTATCAATTTAGTCTAACTCGCAAACGGCCATAATAAAACAACAGGACAGTTCATAATCTTGGTACGTCGGTTCGAATGCGTTTTTGCAATGTTGGATTATTGAGCACACGTTCAAAGAAGTGCTATTGCTAATGCTTTTTAACAGCTCTTTTTGTTATGGGATTTCATTTGATTGTTATATTCATTTGGAAACATTCCAACTGAAACACATTCTATTAGCACATTCACACTGTCTCATTTAGGAGGTTTTGCTTATGATACTAGTGTTCTCACCAGATTTCACACAAAGCTGTTCTATGTAAAGAGCGTAATTTGGCATTTTATTTGTGTTACGTTCTCAGTTTGCAACAGATCTAATTTAGATATTAGAAAATTTATAAATATAAGTATTGATTAGGACGTGTGCGAGTTAGGCTAAGTTGCGTTCTAAATGAAGGAAATTCTAAGTTGTGCCGATAATGTAGTGATGTGTCGATACGTGTTGATACATGGCTAAATGTGTGCAGTGCAAAAAATTTCCCATTTGGTTTAGCATCAACTTAGCCTAACTTGCATACGTCCTTAACTCATTATTAATTAAAGGTTAAAATGTAAAAAGGAATCTGAGAATATGATCAAAAAGAATTCCTTTAATAATAAATATTTCCATACGAATCATTTTAGAAAAATTTACTTACTTTTGCTAAATATTATTTAAAATTGGTTTAAAGCTTTTTTTATCTTTTATTCGAATTTTTTTTTTAATAAAATCAAAATGAGATTTTCAACATTTCTTTGAAAGTTTTTTTTGTAAAACAAAATTATTTTTTTTAATTAATTAAAGTTTTTATATTTTTAAAAGATCGATTTATTAACAGTTTTTAAACACTATAAGATACATTTTTTATTAAAAAATTATTTATTTTTTACCTTTAAGATAACAAGAACATTTTAAAAACATTTCTGTTATCGTTTTTAAAATTTGAAATTTTAATTAACAACTAAAGTTGATTAAAATTTTAGATGTAATATGCAAAATAATAATTAAAATTTTTGCAAATTAAATAAATGTCCAAAAATCAATAGTATCTGTAATTACATATAAAAATATATGAAATTATAATTATAATTTGTATATATTTTTTTTAAATATAAAGTATGGGCTTTGAATGGACGAATTTTTTATAATGGTAATCGTTAATATTTGTTTTCTATTTTGTATATCTATTAATTTTTTTATAAATATTCTTATATTGAAAGTGCTTTTAAACTGTTATATGTATTAGTGTATTGTATGTAACTTGTAAAACCAATATTATTGATTTGGAATTTGAAGAGTAATTTTTTTACTCTCGTTTATTTTGAAGTTAATTACCTTTAATTTTTAAAATTTTTAACATTTTTATAATATGTATATTTAAAATAAAAGTTTAGGACGGCAAATACACAATTAGATTTTATTTATTTATAAAATGAAATAATTAAGTAAAAAGCAAAAACACAATATCATTTTAAAATTTTTTAGAAAAATTACTAAAATTATTTTGAACAATTTAAAAGTCTTTTTTTTTAAAACATTTACTAAATATAACAGAATAGCATTTAAATCGCAATATTTACGTCAATAGATTTCAAAACATTGGGTATAAATTAGAAAAACTTTTTTACATACATTCAGAATCTTGTGCCTACAACAACAACAACAAAAACTATTTAATTGACAACCCGATACCGTCTCTGATAGCTTTAAATTTTGAATCCTACAATTTCAATTTACGAAAGCTAACTTTATTCGCACAGGCAATCTAATAATTCATTGTACACAGTTCTCTTTGATAGATATTAACAATTTATGTATATAACTAATATTTATGTAACAAAAAAAAATTCAATATTAATATAACATATATATTTTAAAAAAATTATAATTATTCGCTTAAATACGATTTCGAATTCCAGTGACAGTTTTTAGATGTTTTATAAAGATATAGAAGCTTTGACATTGAATAAACTATATCACCAATAAAATATATTTCTGAGTGCTAGTAACATATATATCATTTATGAAACCATTATGTGGTTAAGGGGGCTGGGGGAATTAAAAAAAATTTTTAGCGATTAACATTACCTACAGGCTACCCCTACAATTTTTTGACAATTTTGTTGGGTACCCTTTTCAAAAAAGTTGAGATAAAAATTTTGGCAATAATTTTTGATAATAAAACATGATGTTTCATCTTGATATATCTAGTGCTAAAGAGACGATAAAATTAAGAAAAACAAACAAACAATTTTTTTTCGAATGTGGTTTCAAAGCGCATACATCACGAAAGTAAGCTATGAAATCGAATAAGGTCTGTCATAAAAACGAGAAATTCAACGCATCTTATGTTAATATTAAATATAAACCATTGAGTGCTATAGTATATAGATCGCGACCTTTTAGTGAATAGGGAACTAATTTCAATTGGATCTACAATTGTATGTTTTTATACACGAGGTTATGATTTCATAAAGTTTAAAAGTCAATAGTGGGACCAACTTATCTGATCGCACTAATCAAAAATATAATATTTAAGATAGTTTCAAACGTGTCCTTTAGTTCCGATTTATATCACTTGATTAAACCTTTTATTTAGTAGGAAACACTGTATTATCTATACCTCAGAACGAATAGTATATATACGATAAAACAGAAAAAAAGAGCTATTAATCCTTCGTAAGGAATTCAAAATGTCAGTATTAAATGGTATATATATATAATTATTTATGCCTAACTGTAAAGGAGACCGTAAAATTTTTTTTCATATTTTAGGAATGCATGGAGTGTTCGATATTAATGAAGATATTAATATAGATATGGTTTGATGCCATTAAATACTAAAATCGTTTTAAAATTCATACCTACAATGAACAAAGTTCAATTGCTCTAGTATTGTTTAGTATCGCTTATCTTTATATATTAATTGATGTACTTAAAATAAGTAAGATCATTATTTTGTGGACAAATATTTAATAAATTGTTTGGAAATTATAAATAAGTATTCTAGTCTTTACTTATTTTTGTACGAATAGCATATCGAAATGACTTTTAAACATTTCTAAATCGTTATATTTTGAAGATGTAATCAAATTTTTGTGATTTGCGATTATTTAACCAATCAATAGGTAATCAAATTCTTGTGATTTGTGATTGTTTAATCAATATTTCTTTGAGAATCCCTTCTTTGAGAATCTTGATCAACTTCAAGACCTTCCACTTAACAAGATTTTAAGCTTCGCCAAACGTTCGAGGTGGTTTTAAACTCTGAGTTTTTTTGTGTGGTAGCACAATGGGCTAATCTGACCTAACCAGGAGTTTTTCCAATATACGGTAGCACAATGAGCCAATAGGCCTAAGTGAATCCCCTTTGGGTGGCCGGTATAACCTAATCTGACCTAACCAGGAACATCTTTATAAATTGTTATTAATTATTTCTGTTAGTTAAAATAGTAACAAGTCTCAAAATTTAATAAAATTCTCTCCCGTAGTGGTTAACATTTTAAAACTTTATGTAATAAAATTGATATATAACATACAGTTCACCTAGGTTTATTGCGTTACTTAGTAGGATTTTCATTCTTCAACGCTTAAAAATTTTTAATTCAGTGATATCTATACTATATATTTTTCTTTCTTTCATTAACATCTTTTATCGATTTATTAACTTCATTGTCTTTCTATATAAATTCTATATATGGTAGTAACATATATGTCTTATCTGCAACAACCCTACGGGTATTTTAATTTTGGTAGGAAATATTTTGAGAATAGATTAATTAAATTTCAACTTTTTATAGTAGAATAAGTTAATTTGAACTGAAATCCAATAAATTAATAAGTTAGTCAATATAACTCATGCAGATATCTTACTTTTATATACGTTATATGTTATATACGTGAAATGCATTTAGTTTATTCTTTTTTTATTAATCCAAACTAATTAAAACTTTTTTTTAAGTTTTGGTTTATATCAATATTTCTCAATTTAGTATATTTTCAAATACTTTCCATTTCAATTTAAATTTAAATTTTTCGCTACACTACCGTAGACAATATCCGACATAATGCCTAGGTAATTGGTTAACTGCGTAATGTAATTTCACAAAAATAAATATACCCATATATTTAATCACTTTACCGACTTACTAAAATAATGAGTACGTCTGATTACCCTTAGTTATTACAAATATAACGATGGATTGTACTTAAACTTTGCTTTAAACTTATTTAATTAGTTTAATAAATTAGTCAATTGCTTTGTTAAGGATGAATTGGTTCACGTATAGAATGAATTGGATTGTGTATAGAATAAAAACAAAAAACGTAGAGATAGTTTTATTAATATTAATTTATGTTAGATCGTTATCCTGATGATGACTCCCAAGGAGAATCGAAATATAAATATATTAAAAAATATTAAACAAACGTTGAATTATTTAATAAAAAGTGACCTATAGCCGGACAAAAAAATATATATAAAAAAAATAAATAAAGAATATAAAAAATAAAAAAGAAAAAAATCAAAATGTATTAAAAAAAAAATTAAAAGCAACGAAATTAAAT